AGGCGTTGTTGTCGTCCAGGTTCTTGGCAACTCCGACCAGCTTGATCACATCACCGTACTCCAGCGCACGGTTGTAGTACTTCGTCCACGACATGTTACTCCAGGAGAGCTCACCCTTGGGGTCGTGGTGCGACGCAATGATGCGAGAATAGCCCTTCTGCTCCGTGACGGTGCGCAGCATCTCGTCGGGGAAGGCGATCTCCAAATCAACAAACTCGAGTCCAGATCGGAACGCAAGGCGGTAGAGCTCCAAGGCCTCGGCATGGGCGTCGTCAGGGAAGCGACCACCCTGACTCTTGGTGCGAATAGTGAAGATGACAGGGAGGGTGACGTGGCTGCGCAGGAAAGACAGCTGCTCGGCGACGTAGTCGACGGAAGGAATATCACCATCCATCGTCGGATCTTCCAGAAGATCGACACGAAGCTCCACTGCATCGGAGCCGACGCATACCTTCTTCAGAATATCGCTAGCATTACGGAGGTCGGGCAGGGTCAGAGAAACAAAGAACGAGTGTTCCTTGCGCTTGATGGTGCTAAGACTGTCGACCTCTCCGGTAACAGTGCGGAGGAAGCGCTTGAAGTCTTCAGATGCCCGAGCAAGACCGCCAGAGGCAGCAGTCTGGCTGTAGTACTGAATGTTACTGCACTCCTGGAACCAGGGCTTCCGGCGCAGCCAGACTCCCATCATGTCTTCAACATAAGCGGGGCGGGTCTTGTCAATGGAGAGGAAGTCCATGACCTGCTTGATATCCCGCATAATGAGCAGAACGTTACCCTTGGTCTTGTGGTAATCGATGAGCAACTTTCTCGCCTCGGGGATCTCGACGATACCACCACCGCAAGCGAAAACATAGCCAGTTGAGCGCTCCTTCAACGTGCGTTGCAAAAGACTGAGCTCAGCGTCTCTGAACCCCTGCCATCCACGTTGCTTGATGATGTCGGGGATACTCATTCCCTCCGTAGCTTCAAGCTCGGTGTCGAGGTCAAGGAACGGGCGGTTAAGAGTCTTAGCAACCCACTGTCCGCTGGTGGTTTTTCCAGCGCCACGCATGCCGATAATGAAGATGGATGCACTGGACTTCTCAGCTTGCGTGAGAGCCGCAGCTTCGTCTTCCTTCAGCTCCTTACCCTCCAGCTTCACGGAGAACAGCTGCTTCAGCGAGTCCCACCAGCCGGGCCAGGTCTTGCCGACACATTCTCTCTCCAGAATCAGTGTCGACTGAGGAGTGACGAGAGAAAGAACACTGAAGCTGAACGCGACACGGTGGTCGTCGTAGCAGAAAACGCCTCCGGCAGGCTGGCGCAGACTGGTGCGGTCAATGCCATCGATTTCAATGCCGTCGTCATGTTCACGACAGATGACACCGAACTTGGCAAGCTCATCCTTCATGGCCTTGATACGGTTGCATTCCTTAACACGCTGGTTGGCGATTCCGTAAATGCGAGTCGTGTGGTTTGAGCCATCACCGCGTGCGACAGCCGCGAGCACGGAAGCTGTGAGGAAAGCGTCGGTCATAGGTTCCATGTCGACGTTAGGCAGGGGCAGCAAGACACCACCAGGCGCTCCAGTAACAGTGGTAGAGCTATCCGTCTGTTCAACAGTGCAGCCCATGGGACGGAGAACATCGACGGCAAAGCGAGCATCACCCTGGAGGGACTTGGAACCGATGTTGGGCACAGTGCAAGTAGTGCCGGTGATCGCCGCAATGGCCAGAGGGTAGGTAGCCGAAGAGGCATCGCTCTCCACCATGTACTCAGCAGGGTTAACATAGCGGCCCTGAGGAATGTGGTAGGTGTGCTCCTCAGTGGTAGACTTCTTCACATCGATACCGAAAGAGCGCATCATGGCCGTGGTCATGTCGATGTAGGGCTGGGAGATGGGCTTTCCACCCACCAGCTTCAAGGTGACCGGCTCCTTGGCGTACGGAGCGCACATCAGCAACGAGGAGACATACTGGGATGAAACCTTGGCGGCAAGGTTAATCTGACCACCCGCGAATCCACCGGAGGCAGCGATCTTCAGGGGAAGGCTACCCTTTCTCTCCATGTACTCGACCGAGGCACCGTTCGCGGTCAGGGCGTCGACCAAGTCGCCAATCGGTCTCTGCTTCATGCGGTTGTTGCCAGTAAGAACGTTCGAATCCACGTCAGTGGGAGTGGCAAGGGTAGCGACAGTGGTGAGGAATCTGGAAGCGGTACCGGCATTTCCCAGGTACAGAGGGTGGGAAGTGGCCTGAAGGTCGCCTCCCTTGCCATTGACGACGAGCACTTCGCCTTCCTCTTCCCAGGAGAAGGTGCAAGCGCCCAGACGCTCCAGAGCATTGAGCATCACCTCGGTGTCGTCGGAGTGCAGCAGGTTCTTGATACGGCAAGTGCCCGAACCGAGAGCGGCCAAAACCAGAGCACGGTTGGAGATACTCTTGGAGCCCGGAGGAGTGCAGACGACGTTCGAGGAGGTTGCGACGCCGGGGTAGACCTCGATACTGGGAGCCAGAACGACGCTAATGTCTTCATTCGGGACAACGCTGGCGCGCGGTTCGTAAGTGCGTCCAATGGCAGAAAGCAGAACGACCTTCTTCTTGGGGCCGTCGTTCTTCTTGTCCAGAGCCATGTTGAAGAGCAGCTGATCGACGGAGCAGTGCTTTCCTGCGGTGAGCTTCTTGATCCGGGCATCCTTCAGCGAGGTTGGCAGGCCGTAGGCGGAAAGGCACTTCACAATGCGAGCCACGGCAACGCCCTTCAAGATGCCGAGATGGCGGGCCAATTCGGCCTCCTTCACCATACCAATGGCGACACATTCTCCGTGGAGAACCTGAGGGGTCAAGATGGCCTCAATGGCGTGACCAATGGAGTGACCCCAGTTCAGCAAGTTCCGGAGACCACCTTCGCGCTCGTCCGCGGAGACGACGTAAGCCTTGTGTCTAGCAGACGCCAGAATTCTAGCCTTCAAGATATCCTCAATGCCTTCGAAGCGGCGCTGGCCAGGCTGGACTACCCGGCGGACGGCAGACAGTATCGTCTCGGCGTTGTCCTCCAACGCTGTGAATTCCTCCTCGCTGGAGATGGCTGCGGTCTTGATCACCTCCGCCATACCATTGATGAACTCCCGAACCGGGAGCGTCTCCAGGAACTCCAGGTCAATGTAGATCCTCGACGGCTGCCAGATCGCACCGATCAGATTCTTGCCCAATGGTGTGTCAATGGCGGTCTTTCCGCCGATCGAAGAGTCCACCATGGCGAGAAGTGTTGTGGGGACCTGAACATAGCGGACGCCACGCATGTAGGTCGAGGCAACAAAACCGGTCAGATCTCCAATGACACCACCGCCCAGAGCGATGACGACCGTGTCACGACCGCATGGCGGGCTCTGGCTCAACATCCAGTCTTCAATGTCGGCTTTTGTCTGTCTCGACTTGGAGACTTCACCGGGGGCGGCATGGTAGACGAGCAAACGAGGTTTGGGGGAGACGGCGGCAGCAGCCTGTTCGAAGGCCTTCTGGAAGCTGGGGGTATAAAGGGAACCGATGTTGGTGTCGGTGACGAGGACGTAGGTCGTGGAGGACAAGCCGTTGATCAGGTCCTTGGCGACATAATTGCGCCAGAGACCGAAATCAGCGACAATGCTCTCACGACCCAAGATGCTGATCTTCGTGGGTTCGCTCATCGTTCGGAGGATATCAGAAGGAAATGGAGACGTAGTCAACTCGGGAATAAGATGCCAATGTGTCTCTCTAATTCATACTGTGGGGGATTTGCAACCGGTAAGCTTCTGGCAAGTGGGGGTAGAAGGAGGGGGGAAAATGTGACTCGTTCAATTGGGGTAAATGTTTGGGGAGGGGAAGAAATACTTCATGTATATGTATATATACGGCGCAAGGGGGAGAGGGGGAGAGTGTGTGAGGGAGAGGAAGGGAATTGTACCTGAGTAAGAAATGAATCGAAAGGAAGTTCCTCGTCGACAGCGGGGCGCAACTCCGCTTTGACCGGTGAGGAAATATTCAGACTCGAGACGAGATGTGAGCGAGAGGGAGAGAGAGAGAGTTCTTCCAAGATGCCCAGATGGCTGGAAGTTGGGGGCCGGAACCACGAGGGATGGAGGAGGGTGGATGGATGGATGGATGGTTTGTAGTCACTATGAAACTAGTAATCGAGAAGGAAGAGGAAAGAATGGGGGAATTTTTATTGGGTTGGAGGGGAGGGATTATTGTAGAAGGAGATCCACCGGCGGTCGCAATTGGAGTCGTTGACTCACAGTCGCTCTCCTCCGTTACTTTTTTTCTTTTCCTCCCGCTCCGATGTCGTCGCGCCCGTTGGTTTGGCAACTCCGCCTCTCCACCGGAGTTACTCTAGATAGTAGATACTGCCCTGTCTGACATCTGATGAAACTAATTGTGGACCAATCTCACTAGCTACGATCTCCTCGTGTTGCTCAACCTCGATCTTATTATTAACACGAGCTCCCTCGTCTCTCGAAACGTCTTGTCAAGCTGACACTGACACTTCCAGACTCCTTCCATCCTCATTCCGGATCCGTGAATCCTCCTAATGTCTGACACCCCGATCCGGATCCGAACACTTGAGACTTGACTCTATCGCGGTCGCAAATCTTACCGGGCAAAGAATTACTTCCAGCTGGGCGGGATCTACACCTTTATAGTAAATTGATCTGACAAGCTATTCTACTTGGTTGGAAGGAAGGTTTCGTATCCATTCGCGATGCTCGCGAGACCTTTTGATTGCTATACAGATAGTAGTATAGAATGAATGAACCCCAGCAAATATTATCCAATCGAACGCCGGCCCTCCGATCACTTGGCCTCCTTTTTTCTCTTTTCTCTGGCCCTTTTCACAATGTCATAGAGATAAGCATACAAACAACAAGAAGTAAGTAGATAGATAGTTAACGTGGCATTGGCACAAATGGCCCTGGATCGATCATGCGTAATAGACATTCCCTTGCTCTCCGAATCTCTCATGTTCTCGAACATGAATCCCCTTATCTAATACCGTCCATATCCACCTCCTCCACCACCGCCAGAGTTCCGGGACGAATAGTGGTCCCGACCTGAATAACCTCCGCGGCTATACCCACCGCGATGGTCGGATCCCCCGTAGTTGGATGAGCGTCCACGGTACGCGTTGTTGTGGTTGCTACCACCGTAGGATCCTTGCTGCTGATAGTATCCTTGTTGACTACGTCCATAGTAGTCGTAATTGCCCATTTGTTGGTTGTAGGAATCACCACCACCACCACCACCGCCATAGTGCGATCGCTGGTGGTAACCTCCTCCTCCTCCGCGGGGAGGTGGCGGTGGCCCGCGGTTGTAACCACCGCCTCCAGCGTTCGGAGGAACCCATCCAGAAGGCATGCCCGTCGGCGCTCCACCACTGTTACCGGGCGGCATGAACTTGGGGTCCAGATGGGCCGCGAATGGGTTCGGCCGCTCACTGGCATAGTTGATCCGGCCTCCCCGGTGGCCATTGCGAAGCGGAGCTCCTCCATGGAATCGGCCCGAGTGCTGTGCCTTGTTCTTGACGGCCTGGATATCCGCATTGTCCAGGGTCGGGGGTGGCAGCTTGGCGCCCCGAAGGAGCATGGACTTGTGGACGTGCTTGGATTTGGGGATTTCGTAATTGACCCTAAACCATGGATCCGGAACATTAGCTAACTGTAAACAGCACAAAGAAGTAGGAAAGATAACAAGTAACTTACGTGAGAGATCGATCATCATCCAAACTCGGCATCCCGTATTCTTCAAGAGACGATACCAAGGAGCTGTGCGGGATGTACGACTCATTGCGCTCGACCTTACCAGCCAAACCTTCACTGATTCGCTGATTGATGGCGTACTTGGGGGCTCCCTGTTTCTTGGAATAGAAGTTGGCCACCAGATCGTGGTACAGTGGGTGGCTCTCGGAGATCAACAACACATCCCGGCCCACGCAGTTCCGGAGCTTCTCGTCATCAGAGAGAAGAGGGTATTTCTTTTCCATCGCAGCCAGTAGTCGCTTCTCGTCGATGAAGGGAAGTAGAACGACACCCTGCCAAGCAAACTTCTTGCCGTTCAGGTCCACGGGGAAGTCTTCCGGGTAGAAATCGATGATCTCACTATCCGGATCGCTCATCAGATCATGGAAGACTTCAGGGATAGCGTGGTTGGAAGAAGCCGGAAGAACTCCCATCAGCTGTTCGAAGGGCTTGAATGGGGTTCCCTTTTCAAATTGCAACTCCATTTCGCCAATATCCACGAAATCAGCCGCAAATGGCGCATAGTGGTAAGGGTAGTACCACGTCCACGAGGGGCATCCTTGGAAATAGTATCTCAAAACCCAAGCAAGACCCTCGGCATACGCCCGTGCGACCTTGTGGCGGAACTCCTTGTCTTCGGGATCGACGCCAAACTTCTGCTCATAGTACCGATCAGCGTATCCTTCTTCCCACAGGCGGACAGTGTCGGGCGGCAATTCATCGTTTTGAGAGTCGCCCGCGGATGGCTTCTTGGTCGGCGTCGTTGCGGCCTCCTCTGCCACCTCATCCGCCTTTCTCTTACCGAGAACCGAAGGCGAAGTTTGCTCTTCGGTCTTCTCCTCGGAAGGCTCTGGAGCTTCTGACCCGGATTCTTCGGTGTTCTCGGAGGGTTCTTCAGCCTCCGAACCTTTCATGAGCTTGCTCTTCAGGATGGCCGCGGCACTCTTGTTCGCCATGTTAGCCTTATACACCGCACCGCGGTTAGTAACCATGCTGTGAGTCAACTGCCTCGCCTCCCGGGTCAGTTCTCCCCGTTGAGGCGTGATCAGTTCCACGGCATTGGGAGGCGCCGCATCTGCGGCACCCTTAGACCGACCACCGCTAGGATTGCCGGCAGGTGTCTCGTAGGCTTCGTAGTTGGGAGAGCTTTTTCTCCGCTTCCTAGCACCTTCTTCACGCGCTTGTGCTTCCTGCTTGCGGCGCTTCTCGTTGGCAGCCCTCCTCTCCTCGGCCTGTCTACGACGACGGAAAATAGCATCCTCTTGCTTGGCCAGTCCTTGCAGAATAAGCTGGGCCCCCTTGAGGTCAACATGTCCATCCTCGGTCAGGTACCCGCCCATGACGGGGATATTATCACGCCAAATAGCTATCAGAGTGTCGATGCCATTTTCACGGATATCTAAGGAGGGTAAGTGAGGAAGGAAATCATTTCCTACGAAGAAACACATGAAGACCCAGTCATCCAGAGCACGTTCCAAGTCGAAGGGAAACGGTTGTTGCGGAACGTACAGTTCCGCAGCAAGGTATTCCCGAAGGATTGACACATTGAGCCAAATGAAGGGCTTGAGTGAGGTTCCTTTACCCTTCTCATCGAACTCTCCATTCTTCTCCTTTGCCTGACCTTTGCATTCCTCCGCCTTGTGGCCTGCCTGTCCACATAGCCGGCATGTCCGAGCCCTTGACTCCTGGAAGAAGACATCCTCACGTAGGACCCGGAAATAGGGCTCATGAGTCGCAAGACCCAACATGATCAAATCGGCATCCAATCCATAGATGACGTGGCGGGTGTTGGGGTCGTGCTCTGGCGACGCGCGCTGTGACCGGACGAACTCCATGATCTTGTGTTCACCTTCACCCGGAACTGTCGCATCCGAAATGATGATTTTAAGCTGCTTGAGTCAGTAAGATATACAACAAGAACTAGACCAGGAGACGAACCTTTTCCCAAGCGGGGTCGGTATTGAGCTTGTAAGCAATCCAGTAGCGCAAAGCTGCCGCGAGAATATCCATGAAAGGCGTTCCCGGGGTAATGACATTGCTATCCCACGTCTTCTGGATGACCTGTTCCTGCATATCCTCGTCTTCCTTCTTGCCGTTTTGCCTCTCAAGCATTTTGCGGAATTCTTCCTTCTTCTCATCTGCCTCTCTGGCTTCCTGAGCAGAGCGGAACCGACGGGCTCGTTGTTGGTTCATCTTTGCGCGTGGCGCGACACCATCTAGTTTAGGCGAAAAGCATGAGTTAGTCTAACAGTTTGATCAAAGTAGGCGACGCGATAAGAGTTACAACATACCGACAGCAATCATCAGAAGCTTCCTCGGGCGGACCATGTTCACCACACGGTCGGTGTATTTGAAGATCTCCAGCATCATCTCCTGCTCGTTCGACGGTGGCGGCTTTCCTTCCGGATGAGTACATGGGTGAACGATACCGTTCATATCCAGGTACAAATTATCCATCTCATCTCCATTGGGATTGGGACGCGTGGTGTCCACGGGAACCTCTTCGCCGTTGATTTCTTGCGGAAACTCCTCGATAACGGGGGAGATGATCTTAGGATACTTGTTGGAAAGCCATCTGAAAAGCGCTGGGACACCCATGATTGCTAGTAGAATTTGACAAAGAGTGTATAAAGATGTTTGTACAGATTATACGGAGTAGATCTATCGATTTAAGCCAGGTTCGCTGATGCGCTGCATCGGCTATCTCAACGTCTCCGAGTCTGCAGGAATGACCCGTAAATGATTACTTCCGTAGAAGGGTATAGGGTGTAGGGGAAAGGGAAACTCGCGATCCCACACTGTGGGAATGACTAGGAGTAAAAGGCTGACCCTCTCGAGAGGTGAGGGGGAATGATGAAGGCGTGGAAGTCTCTGCGATCGCAATGGCCGGTCGACTTGCCCGACCATGAAATCCGAGATCTCGGCGCTTCTTTTGTCGCGGTTCCGGCAGAACTTCCCCTTCTAGACACTAGACTCAAAGCAGCAAAGTACGTAGTCAGCGGGCCCCCCAAACACCTGACCAATGACCAGTCGGGACACAGCAGTACAGCATTGTTGGCTCTAATTCTTTTGAGTTAGGTATCGTTGCGGCTTATTTGGCTACTACTAACTCCATACTGCGGACTACTGGCACTATCCCGTGTGCTCTCATCATAATCACCACCACCCATTGCTGCCGCTGCAGCTTCGGAGAGAACAACTCAGCTGGCTGATCCACTCGCTTCTCTCCTCTCTCCCCACACCTCCGTGAATTCAATGCCTATAACTTGCTACGCCCCCGGCCGGCGGTGACCATGAAATTACGAGCTACCAGTTGCGATGTTCCGAATCCTCGAGTCGCAGGCGCCGGCCAAACAAACGGCCACCGACACAATTAATACTCTGACTGGTCGGCTTCAGAGTGCAACTTTACTAGAAGATCGACGGGCAGCTATACAAGGATTGAGAAGCTTTGCAAAGTCCTTTCCTGCCTCCGTTGCTTCGGGCGCACTACGCCCGTTGATCAACAGCCTCAAAGATGATCGTGAAGATGTGGATACGTTGAAGGTGGTCTTGGAGACCTTGTTGATGTTGTTTACCCCGGACGAGAATAGTGTTGGTGGCCTCTTCAGCCGAGTTTGTCGCATCCCCTGCTGACATGCGCTGTCTAGCCCGAAGCTTCAGACGAAATCGCTCTTTGGCTGTCCGATGAATTTACGCAGGTTTGTACATGTTACTGGCCGAGACATGCACTTGCTGACCGGGCAAAAAGCGTCAAGACAATATTACTGCGCTCCTTGACCTCCTGGATACTCGTGACTTTTACTCTCGCTTGTATGCCCTGCAGTTGATGTTCCAGATCTCGAGCGCACGGCCAGAAAGAACACAAGAATGTATCCTGACGGCGCCGTTGGGTATACCGAGGCTGGTCAGTGCACTGGGAGATGCTAGAGAGCCGGTGCGCAATGGTATGTTGAGCTTCACCCCCAGCGCGGAAGCGCGGTGTGCTACTGTTGCTAATTACGACTGTGCATCGAATAGAAGCTTTAATTCTCCTGATCGCTCTCACTCCGGCCTCCGAAGAGTTTCAAAAGCTCGTCGCATTCGAAAACGCGTTTGACCTTATCTTCTCCTTGATAGAAGCTGAAGGTGCTTTGACTCACGGATCGGAAGTGGTTGAAGACTGCCTTTCCTTACTCGCGAACCTTCTGAGGCTCAACATCTCCAACCAGTCATATTTTCGGGAGACGGGCTGTGTCAAGAGGCTAGCAAAGCTTCTCGCGGATGTCAACCAGGACCAGGACTCGGAAGAGCCCACCCCACAATGGGCTCTCGCACATCGGGATAAGAACCTTTGGGGACTTTTGGTTATCGTCCAGCTGTTTTTAATCAAAGGAGGGGTCAACACTCCTGCCAACCAGACAGCGTTCTGGAACAATGGTGTCATGGAACAAGTCCTAAACACCGCTTTCGGTCAAAGATTCAATGTCAATGTGACATCTAAGGTAGGAGACACTAATCGCCTATAAAGTTAATGCTAATTGTGCTAGGCTCTTGCGACATGCGCCGACTTAATACGTAGCAATAAGCCCTTGCAGGAGCGTTTTGGAGACGTTGAGGTAATTTGGGGCTCGAGTCCTACTCCGAATGCTGTCAATGGGGATTCGACACATCAAGAGCTCCAGCGGATCAATGTTATCGAAGCGTTGCTGAAATTGACTCTCGAGCCTGCTCCATTGTCGCTTCTTGATGCACGACTTGCCGCTTGCGAATGTATCAAGGCATTCTTCGCAAACCACACCGGGATCCGTGTCCACGTGCTAGGAAGAGCGATCCAAGGCCATATTAGCGGAGAAGACCAGATCCCCAATATCCTAACTGTCCTGTTGATGCCGCCAGAAGCTCGGGGAAATGCCGACCCCTACCAAACCTGGATGGCATCTGTCTTGATGTACCAACTGCTGTTCGAGAACGCTGAAGCCAAATCAATCGCCATGGGTGTGACTGAGGGGGATGCTGAACAGGGTGAAGAAGTCGTTACCTGCATCCAGACGATAGTAGGCAACTTGATCACCGGTATTCAAAGAAGTGATGATGAAAGAATCACCCTTGGATATTTGATGCTGCTCTGTGGTTGGCTCTTCGAAGAACCGGATGCTGTGAATGACTTGTTGGGCGAGGGAAGCAGCATACAGACTTTGCTGCAAGAAATCAAGCACCGCGGAGCCACTTACGTACTCGTTCCAGGTCTTTGCACCATTCTACTCGGAATTATATACGAATTCTCCTCAAAGGATTCGCCCATACCGCGGAAGACTCTGCATAAGTTGTTGATCGAGCAGCTAGGACGAGAACAATACATTGACCGGATCACCCGGTTCAGAGAGGATCCTCTGGTACGTGACTTTGAGGTCCTACCACAGACTGTTGGGGCACAATACGACGGTGGCCTTCCGGAAATCTACTTCGACAGGACCTTTGTTGAATTTCTCAAAGACAATTTCAGCCGCTTGCTACGTGCGATTGACCGTGAACCCGAGATCGAGATCTCAGTGATCACCAATGGCGTTGAAAGAGGAGTTTCTCGCGAACTTGTGGACTCACTTCGGGCAGAACTAGAAGAAAAGGGCGCTTTGTCACAGAAGCTGGAGTCGGATCTGCTTGCTCTGCAATCCAAGCTCGATCACGAGCAGGCTGAACACCGAAAGACGAGAGACGCCACCATATTAGAGTCTTCTAAACTGCAGCAGATCTGTGAATCATTGAAGCGGAGTCACGAACAAGAACTGAATGTCTTAAAGGAGCAGCAGAAGCACGCTCAAAATGTGCTCTTGAAACAGCATGGCGAACAGTTACGAGCCATTGATCGACAGCTGAAGGAAACATCTGCAGACCATGAGAGGAGAAGTCTCCAAGTAAAAAAGCATCATGAAGCCGAGGTGGCTGACCTGCAGAAAAAGATTCGTTCGCTCGAATCTGATCTCAACCGCGGCAAGGAGCAATCCTCTGCTGAGATTGCTGACCTGAAGACTACTATCCAGATCTTGAAGTCGGAGGCGGAAAAGATAAAGGGACAGCATGTGGCGGAGGTTCTGGAACTTAACACCACAATTCAGAATCTTCAGTCAGCACTCGACACTGTTAAGGGACACCATGAGGCCAAGCTCTCTGAGTTGAACACCACAATCCAGAAGTTGCAGTCAGAGCTTGAGACAGGCAGAGGACAACATACTACCGAAGTCTCTGGTCTGAACAAGACAATCGAGGAGCTCAAGTCGCAGATGGATGCCAGTCAAGAGAAACATGAGTCTGAGGTCTCCGACCTCAACAAGACAATCCAGAAGTTACAGTCGGAGCTCGATGCTAGCAACGGACAGAGTGCGGCAGAGGTTTCTGACCTGAAGAAGACAATCGAGACGCTGCAGTCGGAGCTTGACGCTAGCAACGGACAGAGTGCAGCAGAGGTTTCTGACCTGAAGAAGACAATCGAGACGCTGCAGTCGGAGCTTGACGCCAGCAGTGGCCAGAGCGCGGCAGAGGTTTCTGATCTGAAGAAGACGATCGAGAGCCTTCAAGCCGAGCTGGAGGCTGGCAAAGGAAAGCAGGCAACTGAAGTAACCAGCTTCCAAGAAACCATCAAGACGCTTAAGTCTGAAATGGACGCCGCCAAAAAGCAGCATGAGACCGAGGTTGCGGAGCTCAAGTCCGCGTCCAAGGCCTTACAATCGGAACTGGACACTGCTAAGGAGAAGGCTACGAAAGAACTACAGTCTACACGCGATGAGCTGTCCTCTAAGTGCACTGCCTCGGAGAAGCGAGCCGAGAAGGCCGAAAGTGAGGTAAAAAAGGCTGAGGAGGCAGCACGCAAGGCTACCCAAGCGCTTGAAGAGGCCCGGAAACAGCTCGAGAAGGCCGAAGCGGAGGCCAAGGAGAAAGAGGAAGCTCGCAAGGCGGCACAGTCTGAGCTTGAGGATTTGCTGATCGTGTTCGGAGATCTGGAGGCGAAGAGAAATGAGGACAAGGTAAGTCCACTGGCCCTAACCCAATGACTATGCAGATGACTCATACTGTTCCATAGCAACGTTTGAAGGATCTCGGTCAAGAAGTGTCCGAAGCTGAAGATGATGAGGAGGAGGAAGAGGACGAGGATGAGGACGAGGAGGAAGCCTAATGGAAATACCAATATTGGTGGCCCTTGCATGAGGCGCAGGGCGTAGGGCGTAGGGCGTAGCAGCCATGAGTTGCGACAGCCCTGAATTGCATTCCAATGACAAAGAAAGCATGAGTGAGTCAGAGCCATGGGAGGTTAGTCCCAATTTGTACATCAAAGATGGGATTCAGCCTTGTGACTAGCGTAGTAGCCATTGTACAGTGTACCTGAGCCAAACTATTCCATATTTAGAGATGTTTATGAATCCGCATTGAAAGAGGGACAGTCACACCGGCTGATGTCGGCGGTAGGCGAAGCGGGCGCTGATTGGCCAGCGGAGACAAAAAATGGTGCGCGGGGTGAGTCAAAACGATTCTGCCGCTTGTGCGCAACCTTCAATCGGGCTTTAAATCTACCCCGCGGATCCCTCGCTGGAAGATCGCAAGTCGACAGATTTCCTCCTTGTCAC